TTTGGTAGGGTACTGGGACTCAAACCTTGTAGGTCCTATGTCACTGAGCTATGTCCCTGGGCCTCATGGGACTATTAGTAAAATGAAAGCATGTATAATTGTCTTGTAAATAAGTATTTTTAGCTTAATAAAAGCGAGGCTAAACAATTTACTGTCCAACAGATAATATTTTTTTTGAGATAGTTTTAAGAGAAAAGCAATTGCTATTAATAATTACTGTTATAAGCATAAGCTGAAATCATTCAGTATGTATAGCCCCTTAATTAATAGACGTAGGTACTAATGAAAAACACTACTTTTCCTTATCTAAATTTCACTCAAGTAACAAAAAGAATTTTCAAGACACAAGTAATTAAGCACCTACAATGTACCAGGTACTATTTTCGTAAATGTATAGATAACTGGACTTGTCCACAATCACATCACTGGCAAGAGAAGTTGTGCAATGAACTTAGCTCTAATTCTAAAGCCATATTATGTTACTATATTAAAGATTCATTGTTTAATTTTACTGGAACAGAAAGACTGCTATGTTTAATGCTATGTAGAGGGTTTTGGATAGTAGGAATTAAAACAAAAACTTTTCCCCAAGTTACATCAATATTCTAGGCATTCTAGCAAATTTAATGGCAGTAGGAAACTAAGTACAATTACTTAAAAACTACTTTAATGAAATTAAATAAAAGATTCATTTCAAAAATTCAGTTGGACAGTAACATGCATGTTTCATAAATATTTATGCAACTGAAACATGAAATTAGTCAAAGTGGAAATCTAACAGTTTTAGTCACAGTTAAAGTACCTTTAGTTTTGGCTTTTTAAAAAAGGAAAAAGAAAGTTGAGGCTTTTGTGGGATATAGCTCAGTGACAGAACAAGCATGAGGCTCTGGGTTTAATCTTTGAAATCAAAGAAAAAAAGATGAACTAGGTGATCTATGAGGTACCTTCTAAGAATTATATTTATAAAATAATCATAGTAAAATCAGTAATTAGCTAAAATGATTCAAATTTGCATATGCTGTATTTATTGAAAACACCATTACTATATTCCACAATGTATCATAAATCCTTCTGCTTTTTTACTGCATTAATGTTTTTAACTTATGGAAAATAATATATGCTTGTTATGGAATTGTTTATTTAATACTGAAATTCTCATGTTCAGATAGTTTGCCAGCAGATTAATAAGCAGTTTCAGGGATAACTGAGATAGTTAAGATAGTCAAAGATAAGACTTACCTCCTGTTTCTGTATTATAGTAATAGCTATAACCATCTTCACTTAAACCTTCTACCCAAATGGCCTTTGCTGTCTAATAGGAGGAAAAAAAACCCAGAATAAGCAGAAGATAATGATTATATACTGAGTAACTAAGCCACCCATTCCTTTTCACCTGACATGTGAAAGCTGGGGATGGTGATACCAATCTTGGCTAGGAAACCTGGTTTGTGATAATCTAATCATGTGCCAATATTCAAGTAGAAAATATTTCACTTTTGAAAGCCAGGAATCTCTTCTAGATGGGACAGGAACATCTGGATGGCAACTGAAGACAAACCAAGTAGCATTTACACGGACGGGGTTTTTGAACAGATATCACTATTTTATTTCCACACCATCTTCTAATGAAAGGAATAGAGGAAGAAAGGATGGGGGGTGCTTACTTGGTAGTAAATCTGCTTACATAAAGCCCGGAAGCCAATCATTCTAAAGAATAAAGCTGAAACACTACTGATGTACTTCAATTACCTTTTTTAAATTTCCTTGAAATCCTTCAGGTTTCTCCCACTGAGATGCTAAAAGCAAAACACATGGCATTTATAAAAATCTTTTTGATTAAAAAACGCTTCCAAAACATTTAATTTGGCAAAAAATTAGAAATACCAGTGTAACAAATAATTAAAAAATAAACAAACAAACATTCCAGCAGCACTGTGCAGAAGAACACAGGTAAATGCTACGGAACCAAGAAATCACAGAATGAAGAATAAGAAGTTACGGGAACCTCTATGGAATTATTAGAGTGAGGCAGGGCTTCTGTCAATGAGTTCACTGGAATTTAGGCCTGATACATTTTGAAGGAAGGGAATGACTTTTTGCTATCTCGGGGCAAGGGAGAATAAGAGATGGAGTAAGAACGACTTACAAGAGGAACAAGATAAAGTCTGGGGGAACTAAAAGCATGTATTGCTGAAGGCAAGAGAATGTAAGTAGGATGGTGAAGGAAATACTAGAAGAGAAAAAATAGTTTCTAAGTGTATTTGAGAAAGGTTTCTCATCCCTACTACATATTTATGGTTATCTTCACCACTGAACTACAATATACACTTCACTTAAGGCTCAGTTCAAATTCTGAGAAATCACTGCTACTTCTATGCAGTCTAAAACTGACTGATTTTAAAGAACATTATAATAATTAAACAATACTGTCATCTCAAGATTTTTCCATTATTTTCTCATCTAATTTCCTATCTTCTTTTTGAGATGATCTTGCTGTATGTAGTCCAGGCTGGCCTCAAATTCATAACCCTCCTGCCTTAGCTTCCAGAGGGTTGGGATTAGTTTGTGCCACAATACCCAGCTTCATATATTACCTTCTCCACCATTCTTTTTTGTTCACTTTCTTCCTATCCTTTTCTTTAATATGTGCACTACTCACCCTCTTTCCTTCTTGCTCTAGGCTCTGTAATCACATATACTTATTGAGGTTGACAATATTATCATGTATCCCACTCTACTTAGTAATCCTAACTGCAGACTCTCAGCTACTGATAACTGCCACATGTTCTATAGGTACCTCAAAATGAACATACATAAAACTGAATTCACTATTCTCCCCCTTAAACTTATTTCTATTTCCTGTATTTCATATCCCAGCATATCATACCATCATTCTCCCCGTCTCCCATAACATGACCCCAACCTATTTATCCAGTCTCATACTTCTGCACATCTGCTCTTCAAAGAACCCTGCACTTTACCCCTACTTGTTAATCTTCTAGGCTTTACACTTTCAAAGCTATTTTACTTTTTGGCTCATATTGTTCTGCCTGATCTGAAATCTTAATTAAAATATGGAGTGTTTGTATTGTGGTAGGCACTGTGTTACATGTTAGGGATAAAAATGACAAGGTACTAATCTTATTTTGTATGGTTTTTTGAACCAGGGAACAGCACCCTCCTCCTCTAACGTTTGAAAGTTTTTTTACATTCTATAAGCTGCCCAGGCTGGACCTGAGGTTGTGATCTTACCTCAGCCTCCAGAGTAGGTGGGATTACAGATATGCACCACTATGGCCGATAAGACATCATTCTGAGAGATCAGCTCAAAAGTAATCTGTGATAATCTCTCAGATTCACATAACCACAATTCCTCATTTCTAGCTATGATATAATCTTTAAATTACACTTCTATATAGCACTTTAAAATTCTTCCTTGTAATAAGCTTATTTATTTCTGCCACTAAATTTCATGTTTCTGGAGAGTAAGATAAATTTATTTTCCCTAAACTTCATAGTATGTGGAATAAAAATTCCAACTATATTTAATTTTTAGGGAAAAAAAATTACTTTTGATATTCCTACTGAAAAACATCATTGTGTAGATAACTGAAACTAGTATCTGACAATATAAAGGAGAAATTTACTATGTTAATCGAGATAATCACATATAATAGAAAACAGTTTCTGGTTCACAAACTTTCATATGGATAGAAAATGGACTCTTACAATCTATGGAGTCGATCCGAAAAGCCTTATTTCAATGAAAATGCTTTATTTCCATTAGTTCATACTTTCAGAAGGTATTACTGAAAAAATACAAAGCTACAGTTTATCTGTAAGGAATTCACTCTGAAGACTTGCTAGATATTGAGCAACAGTGAAAAGGTACTTTCTTAAAGAGCACATACTTTTCTTCTAAACTTTGGTACAAATGAGAAGGTACTCTTTTATTGTTTAAAATGTCCAATATTAAATAAAAACCCTAAACAAAAACTGTTCTGTTCCACCAATGGAGTTATTCTCTACTAGTTCTGTGCTTAAGCAACTTACCTCCTGTGATGAGATCGTAATAGTAATGATAACCTTCTGAGGTTACACCTTCTACCCAGCGACCCTTTGAAGGATCTTTCTTCTTTTTCTTCTTCTTCTTTTCTTTCTGTTGATTTGACGCAGAGGGAGGTGGGGTAGTACTAGGTACTGGTGACACACTTGGTACTAAGATATCTAGAAAAAAGATGAGAGAAGGGTAAGATGCTGAAGTAACTTTTTTTTCTGTCATAATACTTTAATAATGTTACTTTAATCAAAAGCCTAACAGATCTTTTGGGGGACTTATACATTATTATAAAACTTACTCTAAAACTATGGTAAAAACCAGGGTGTGGTGGTGTATGGTTTTAACTCTAGCACTGAGAGGCTGACGCAGAAGGACTGCAGGTTCAAACACAATTTGTACAACTTAGTAATTTAATTTTTTAAATTAAAAATTTAAAAAAGGCCAAGGATGTAGCTCAGCATGAAGGCCCTTCATTCAATCTTTAGTACATGGGTTTGGGGGGAGCCACGCAAAGTAAACGAGTACTAAATCTGGGTATATAAAAATTAAGTTCTTTTGGCAAAAACAAAAATTTTAATTTCTTTTCTTTGTACTGTATTTTATATATACGTATGAAAAAATATTTACTGTGAATATGAGAGTTAACATTTCTTTTTTTTTTTTTGGTACTGGGAATCGAAATCAGGACCTTGAGCTTGCCAGGCAGGCACTGTGCCACTGAGCTATATCCCCAGCCTGAGGTTAACATTTCTACCAAAGATTCCCCACAAATCAAACATTCTAACAGAAAAATGGACAAAAGTACAGTGTTATTTTGGTTCATGAACTTAATTCTTTTCAAAATTCTGGTCACAAACCAAACTGGACAAGAACCAAATTCAGTGGTTAGGTTCAACATTGACCTTATGTGGAAATGTGATTCTGTTCTCATCCAATCTTGTTTGTGACCTGAATCGTGGAAAGAATTAAGTTCATGAACCAAGGTACCACTGTACAAAGGAAACTCAGAGAATGAACACTGACCTTTACTGCAAAAGAAATGCAAATAAACGTAATTATTTGTAGATCAATGAGTTCTGAGAAAAATGATCAATTATGCTAGTCTCATATATCAGGTATTGGGTATCCTGTATTTCCAACATTAGTTAATAATTATTTTTCCTAGTGAAAGTGTAAATCAGCCCAACTTAGTATTACCTATAATATATAAGATATATACGTTCATACTACTACATTTGTATACTACTACGATCTCACTTTTAGAAACTGAACCCATACAGAAAATAAATGTGAAAAGATGCCTGTATAATAAAATATACTGCAGCATTCCTTGTTACAGTGAAAATTTCTAAGCAATCTACCTATTCACCTGGAAGAAATCAGTTAAATAAATTATGGTATACTATATAGCTACCTTTATGTAACTTACTATATATAGTCACTGTAATAAGCAATTTGTACCATAATGTTATTTAATTTTAGCAAACGTGCAAGGTCATAACTAGTGAGAGGCAATTCTGTGACTCCAAAGACTGCGAGCTCCTACTCCACAGCTACTAAAAAATGCTACGCCCTTAATTATTTAAAAGATGTATTTAACTATCATTGAGGAGACCTCCAAACAGACCACAGCACAAAATGCTAAAGATATCTGCAGAAATCTTAACAGCAGCTAGTAAACTTTTAAAAGCTCTTTTCTTTGAATTGCACTGTTGTACTTCTAATCCATACAACAGATAAAAGGTAAATTTTCAACTACTTCTAATTTCCCAGAACACCAACTTTTTTTCTCTCAAAATACTTAGTTTTCAGAGAACCACTCACCTCTCTTGCCTTAACTACTAATGTCCAAAATAACATTTTAATAGACAATATGAAAAGCCAGGCATACGTCTGTGATCATGGTTACACAGACGGCTGAGGCAAGAGGATCATTAAGATTGAGACCAGCCTGAACAAGTTAGTAAGACCCTATCTAAAAATCTGAAAACAAAACCAAAAGAAAAGGACGGAGATGTAGCTCAGGGCAAAGGCTCTGGATTCAATCCCTACGTAACACGTTACTTTTAAAACACGCTGGCTGCTTTTTCACCTGACTCTAAGCCAAGCCTTTTCAGATCCTCTTGGTATGCTTTTAGGGCAGCTGCCTCCATTGCAGCAAACTCCTTTGATGCCTTTTCTTCTTCTTTCGCCTTATCCAGGCTTTTCTGTTTAATCTATGCAGGATGGGTAGAAAAATAAAAGTGAGATAAAGTACTGACATTGATACAGAAAAATTAGTCAAGAACCAATCTGTATTACCTCACTGATTCTCTTTGCCACATTTTCCTTATGATTCTTTCCCCGTTCATGAAATTCGACACTCTTAAAAATGAAAAAAAATACAAAGGAAAGTTATAATAAAATAAAATCCACTGTAAATCCAACATATGACTAGAGCATAAATCCAATATATGACTAGAGCGTAACAAAACTGAAATTAAAATGATTTACAGAAAAGGAAAAACAAATTAATTTTAATGCAAACTAGTCCCTTTTATCAAATGATGATAGGGACCTGGAGCCTCATTTATTGTGCCTTCTGATTAGATTTTACTTTGGTTTTTAAAACAGATGCCAGTATTAATGGTAGAAAAATACAAGGTACTCTTAATAACTAATTTTATAATTTTAACAAGAACTTCAAAGATGAAGCAAAAAAGGTAGAAAATTTTTGAAAGAAACACTTTTCAACATCAAATGTCAAAGCCAGTAAATGTCCAGAATTTTATCATTCTATTTGCTAACTTTTTTTTTTTTTCTTTTTGAGACACAGTTCAGGTTTGCCTTGAGCTCACTTTGTAGCCCAAGCTGGTCTCAAGCTTGCAACGATCTTCCTGCCTCAGCCTCCTGCGCCACCACGCATGCTAAATTAAAGACTTAAGAGAACAAAATGATCTTTAAAGTCTTATTCCTCAGTATTTTAACACAGACAATGAAAATTCACAAACATTTAAAAAGTGTTAAGATGCACTTTTACATATGGTAGTAATCCTACAAAATGCACAACTCTGATGATGGACACTTTGGGAGTAACTATAAAAATTACAAATATATTACCCTTTAATCCAACAATCCTATTTCTGGGAATTTTTTTCCACAGATATGCCTGTACATGTACAAAACATTATACATATGGTTATTTACTGCAGCACTATTTGTGCTAACAACCCAAGTGTCCACATAGGGAACCAGTTAAATAAAATTCAGTCACATAGGCTGTTAGAAAACAAAGAAGCTTCCTATGTATTGACATGGAGAAGCATATAGTATGATTTTTAAAAAGTATGGTGTAGGAAAGTATGTACACATAATATGTTACCTTTTCTGCAGGATGGAATAAGAATCTCTATCTCTATGCATATGGAAACAATAAAAGGAAAATAAGGAAAGTAAAAAGTGGTAACCCATGTGGAACGCGGTAACTGGGATGGATGGGGACAGGGACGGGTGAGTGAGCATTACCATCTATTTAAATAACCAGAAATCCTCCCTAAATTACAAGCGAATGGTTGTAAGTGGAATCTAGTCAGAAGGCATAATAAATGAGGTTCAGCTCCCTAGCACCGTTTGATAAAAGGGGCCAGTCTGTATTAAAATTAACCAGTTTCATCTTTTCTGCGAATCATTTTAATTTACAAAAAGATGTTCAATTATCTCTGAAGCAGGAAACACAGCTACAATAGTCTTGACACTTTCAGGGCACTTCCATACTCGCTCTTCTTTGTACAGTACAGTATTCGCAGTTCTACAAACACTGTCGTTATACTGTAACATGGTTGTTTCACACACGCGGTGAGATTATCCACTAGTTGGTCTTTTCCAGCAAGGCCACAGAAATAATTTGGCTTCATCATCAAATACAGCTTTGATGAAAAGGAAGAAGGCTCATGCTTTCTTAAAGAAAATGACATGACAACAAAAATCTTTTTATGTTTTCAAGAATAACAAGCCGTGCATATGAAAGTGTTTTGTAAACTCTGAACACAGATCAAGAAGCAGTAGACCGCGTAAGCACAACGTTATGAAAATTTCCACGAGTAGGTTCAGCATACAGGCCTATTGTCTGCGATCCAGCACTTGCAGTAATCACAAAACTTCTTTGGTTGTGACTTCCAGTAGTCGGCCCTGAAAAAGGCAAAAGAAGTCTAAGCTTTTTCAAAATCAAGGTAAAACTGTGCACACTTTAGTTTCATACACTGTATGAGCCTCAGGTACTGGAGCTTGTTAACAAAGCTCCGTTTTATTATTTAGGTAGAGCATGCAGGTCGACTGAAATTTTGTTGCCAGTAGAATAGAAAAGGGTCAGCATAGGATTTATTACAAGTTGCTGTAAATAAAACAATTCAAGTTTCCCTTATCAGTTACTATCAGAATGAAGACACAAGAACGTCTCAGGGAAAAACATTCTTTGCCGTTCTAATTTTGCGGTGGTGGGGTGGGTGCTGTAATGGAGGCCTGCGAAAAAACTCAAACTGGTCTTAAGTTTACTTTCATCAAAAGAACAAATCATAACACTACTCTAGGGAAAGACTGTGCTACCTCCAGGACCAGCTAATGGAAGTTGTTCTTGAGCCAAGGGACGGAAGTTGCAAAGGCCAGAGGACCTCGCCAACCGAAAGTCATCACGCTACTCGGAGACTGCCTTCTGCAGTGGGCAGGGCGGCAAAGCTTACAACACCCCAAGGTTTAAGCGTGTTCAGAACCGACGAGGGCGCCCGCCA